GGGTATGGGATGGGGATGGTTTGAACTCTGTGTTGAAATTTTAAAATTGCCAAAATGAAATAAGAGCTAGAACACTAGAAGAAATGGAAAGTATTGAATAATTGAAATGCAAGTCAGGCAAGCGGGTTGTCCACTGAAAGGGAAAACCTGCTTTCAGGAACTAATTAGGAGATTATATGAATGCTAATAGTCAGACCAGATGTAGAAAGTTATTTCTGGCATTAATAAAAGGCACAGAGGGAAATCTACACAGGGATGGCGAAAGCAGGACTTTTGCAGCACATAGCCTTAGACCAGCGGTTCCCAACCTTTTCTATACCTCGCACCCCTAGAATGCTTCTGACCCTAACCCTAACCCCTTACAAAAGTAATACCTGGTTATGGATATACACTATAATTTCGAAACTTCTAAACCCAAGTTTCCGCACCCCCTGGAATATCATCTCACACCCCAGGTTGGGAATCCCTGCCTTAGACAAACAAGCAACATATATACACTTATGTAGGATGAAGGAGATCTGTGTGCAGTCTTCTTGGTGCTGTAAAAATCAGACATTTCAATATGATCGGAAATCTATGGCCACATAAAGGCTAAATTCTATAATACTGATGGTCTTTTTGAATAAGAGTTTCTCAGCCAAATCTGGGAAAATGGGCTTGTAGCAAAGAACAGCTTGTGCAGGGAGCAGGTGTTAGACCTGTTTAGACTGGTCATCTGTGTACCTGCAAACATCTCAAGGTTCTCAGGTCTCAATTTTTTAAATGATGTTTTACTATACAGCTGACTACCATCTTCCAAGATGATCTTTATTTCCAGTAATGCTTAGTTACTCCGTAATTCTTAGTTTTTTCCAAAGAACAATTTTAATATGGGCATGAGGTCCAGGATGGGAGACAAAGGGATGCCCACAGGTTTGATCAAAAACGTTAGATAGCAGCCCCGACAGTATGATTGTATCTGTAATCTATACCCTAACAGGCAAGATTTTGATTTCATCCATTATGGATGCTGTCTTAAGCTTTTTTAATTATATGCTGTAGACACTTCTAGCATTGGCTGAGCATTTGGTGTATTTGGAGCTTCTGAACCTTCCCCTCAACATCTCTAATCCTCCAGCAGATGATTTTGAATTTAAATAATTATGAGAAGTAACTGAGAAAGTTGGATCCCAATGTTGTGTTAGTGTGTATATTTCTGCAGCATTTTATTCATATTGTTACAATCAACATTTAGTGGAAATAGAGCATCATGCATTAGATGGTGTGTGCCGCATAGAAACCAGATGACCCCTCTCCCACTAGAGACATTATATTATAAGGACATCAGAAGAAACCTTGGAAGCTATAGGATCATCACATCAGAAGGAATCTAGGAAGTCATCTGATTCAATCACAACTGAATTCATGATTTACAATGCATGATATGACCATAATATTCTTGATAGATGGTTGTCCTCCCCTGCTTAGATGTTGTTAATAAAGCTTTAAATGTAATTGACTTATTAAGCCACAGTTCATTTCCAGCTGAAAAAATACTCTGCCCCTTATAACATTTCAGGTTGTTGTTGTAACTTTATTTACTTTAAAAAAAAACAGGGCTTCATTCACTCTTACAAATCAGTATTTTAAGCAAGCAATTTCAACCCTAAGAAATATTGTTAAGAAATGGAAGTTAGATGGAACTGGAAGAGTTTAGAAAAATCTCCTACAGTTGCCATAAAACTGGTCAGATCTGTAAAGCAGAACTAATAGATCACAGTGAACCAGCTGTTGAGAAGTTTAGCTGACACCAGAGTATTTATCCACTGATTTACAATAGAGCACTGCTTATGCAAGAATGATCTGCACAGGAGAGCTGTTGGAAAGAAATCTTTTCTTAAACCTAGTCTCAAAAGGCAGTCTAGGGTATGCAAAAGAAAACTTTGATAAGTCTGAAAATATTTTGGAAATAAGTACTTCAGGCTGATGAAACAAAAATTGAATTGTTCCACAATAACACAAGATACTTTTGGAGACAAAAAGCTAAGCAATTTATAAGAAAATAATATCTTGCCAGTTGTTATGTTCCAAAGTAATTTTGCTGTGCTTTGGGCTTATGTGTCAGCCAATGGCAAAGGAAATTATAGGTGGAAAAAAAGAATAGATTTAATTAAAAATGTAGCCTAAAATGTAATATCTCAATCTGACATTGTAAAGAAACTGATGTTGAAAAGAAGTTGGATACTTTAGCAAGTCAGTCCCATTTGGAGAAATATACCTCCAAATTAACCATGAAATATTTACAGAAAGGGAAAATAATGGTTTTGAAATGACCTTCATAGTCCCAATACTTGAATATTATTGCAGATCTGTGGGAAAAATTCAAAAACATGTAGTACATATAAGGAAACTTAAGAAAAGTTCTGAGCTACAAGATTTCTACAAGGAACAGTGAGAAAAATTATTAGTAGGAAGACTCATAGCTAGAAACAGGAAACATGGAAGCTATTGTTTCTATCAAAGGAGGTGTTGCAAAGTACTGATGGAAGTGATGTCCAAATACTTCACCATAGTAGGAACACTGGGAAGGAGGGAGACTATTAAATTGATAAAGAAGTCAATGAATGTCATGAAGATACACATATTTGTGAACATCTGTGGATACATGCATGTAGTTATAACTATTATGTTTGGTATAATGGTTAAGGTGCTTGTTAGAAATTCAGAGATAGTGAATTCTAATCCTACCTCAGACACAAAGCTAGCTGGTGTTCTTAGGACATTCGTTTTCCTTCAGCCTAGAAAGGAGGTAATGGCATTTCTGAAATCTTGCCAAGAAAACTGCAGGAACATGTTCAGGCACGCTGTCTCAAAGGCAGGTAGTTATTTAACTATTAAAAGATCTTATTAGGGCTTTGACTTTGCAAATCATTACAAGATAATATGCTAATTGAGAATTGGGGAAGTTGTAGTTCAACGTTTTTTGGGGGGGACTGAACTGATAAAGTGTACTGTGACAGGGAAAAGTTGGCTTCTGTGCCTTTGCCCATCTACATACTCTAAATTCTGTTGCCTCTGCTATAATACACACTTCTAAGTAGTTACTGAGAGATGTGATAGGTGATAAAGAGCAAGTGTGGGTTATTTCATTCTTCTGAGATAGTTATTCTAAGGCAGTGGTGACGAACCTATGGCACACATGCCAGAGGCGGCACTCAAAGCCCTCTGTGTGGGCACACATGTTGTTACCCCAGTCCCGCCTCCCCCAGTGGCTCCCTCCTTACCAGCAGCCCCCAGAGGAGAGTCACCCCCAAGTGTGGCCTGCGCAGACCAGCGCAGCCAAGGACATGGCAGCTGGACAGCAAGGACAAGACTCTGCCCTCGCGCCCCATCATGTGCAGATGATGCTGCAGGGCGCGGGTGGAAGGCGTGGCCACCTTGGCACTGCTAGGCTGCCTGGGCGATATGTGGTGGACCGTGGAGGCGGTGAGTGGCCCTGTGGGCAGGCAGGGCGGGGGTGATTTTTGGGCACTCAGTCTCTAAAAGATTTGCCATCACTGTTCTAAGGTGATGATGATGATGATGATGATGATGATGATGATAAAGTTGGAAGGGACCTTGGAGGTCATCTAGTCCAACCCCCTGCTCAGGCAGGAAACCCTATACCATTTCGGACAAATGGCTGTCCAGTTTCTTGAAAACTGGTTAATTGCTATAACTGTCAGGAAGTTTCTCCTTAGTTCTAGGTTGCTTCTCTCTTTGGTTAGTTTCCACCCATTGCTTCTTGTCCTGCCTTCAGGCGCTTTGGAAAATAGCTTGACTCCCTCTTCTTTGTGGGAGCCCCTGAGATAATGGAACACTGCTATCATGCCCCCCCTTGTCCTTCTCTTCGTTAAACTAGACATACCCAATTCCAGCAACAGTTCCTTATATGTTTTAGCCTCCAATCCCCTAATCATCTTTGTTGCTCTTCTCTGTACTCTTTCTAGAGTCTCAACATCTTTTTTACATCGTAGTGACCAAAACTGGATGCAGTATTCCAAGTGTGGCCTTACCAAGGCATTGTAAAGTGGTATTAATACTTCACGTGATCTTGATTCTATCCCTGTGTTAATGCAGCCTAGCCCTGTGTTGGCCTTTTTGGCAGCTGCACCCCACTGCTGGCTCATATTTAAAATGATTGTCCACTAGGACTCCGAGATCCCTCTCACAGTTACTACTATTGAGCAAGGTACCCCCGATACTATACCTGCACATTTGGTTTTTCTTGCTTAAATGTAGAACCTTACTTTTTTCACCATTGAATTTCATTTTGTTAGATAGCGCCCAGTTTTCAAGTCTGTCCAGATCCTCCTGTATCCTAAGCCTGTCTTCTGGAGTGTTGGCTATTCCTGCCAGCTTGGTGTCGTCTGCAAATTTGATGAGTTCCCCATGTATCCCCTCGTCCAGATCATTGATGAAGAGCACTGGGCCCAGAACAGAGCCCTGGGGCACCCCACTACACACTTCCCTCCATGTAGATACGGTTCCATTGAGGACCACACGCTGAGTATGGCCGGTCAGCCAGCTATGGTCTCTGGTCACAAACTCACGTTCTCTACTATAACATCACTGATGTTCTGCTGGGGGAAACATAGATGATGCATTGCTATCACATGTACAAAATTACTAGAGGTGTGGCTGAGGGGCATGTTGTTGGACTGAAGTAAGAGGTATGGTGTTTTTTTGTAGACTGCTCTCTTTTCTAAAAGATTTACTGAAAAATTGTGGGGAAATTAATAGTATAGCACTATAGCAGGCACAAGAGATATATCTCTTCTCTGGATCATCACAGCTAGAGATACCCTGAGATGAGTTAGAGAAATCTTTCTGACAGCAGTGCGGTTTTCTCACAATTTTTCTTTTGTTTCTGATTTGCCTCATTTTGCCACCAGTGTCATTCCTTTCCCTGTTCACTCTGCCATGCAAAGCAAAATGTTCTATAGTCACGTCATCTAAACTTGACTTCTCCTCTCTCCCAGATACCACAAGGACCAAGAAGAGTCATGAAAAGGAGGGTGTGGAATACAACTTTGTTTCAAAACAGTCATTTGAGATTGATATACAGCACAACAAGTAAGTTTTGCTTTGAGGTGCTGGGGGAAATAGAAAGTATGTCCTTTGTCGTATTAAGCCCAGTTCATGTCATGTATCCTCTGAGAGTCTAACTAGAGTAGCTCTCCTTTGCTGATAGAGATTTTAACTTCATGGGTAGAAGAACTTTGACAAGCATATTTTATCTCAGTTTGGGGCTACAATAATGGAAAATTCTGTTTGGCTGTAAATGTTCTCCAGTTGGGATGTAACCAAAGAGAGACCTTACTAGGACTGGATTTGTTTACTTAATATGTTGTATTAATTATATGCATTCTTGTGCTGCATTTTTGCCAGTTTCTCAATACTTCACAAAATTAGACAGTGTTCTGAGATGATCCAAGCTCTCTTCTTGCTTGAACTTCCCTAGTTTACCTTTGCTTGGAGGAGGAATTGCTGAACAATTCTTTTAGTACATGAAATTGAAGACCTGTATTCCATAAGCCATGCTTTTTTTGGTCCTCAGATATGCTGGAACTGCATTCCCTAAACTCCATAACATGCTAAGTAAAGTTGCAACATATCGAGAGTGCTGGGGATCACTACTTTAAGGGTTGAGTAGTACCATAGGCTGAGAGTATTAAAAGGTCCTTCCACATGCTAATGCTGAGCAGATCTAAGATTAGTTTTACATTTCAGAATGCTATAATATTTGTGTCGTGTTTGGGAAAGTGACTAGATGTCTCTAGGTGTAAGATAATTTTTTTTTGCATTCTAAACAGTTGCTCTTTTCTTGATGAAAGTGAAATGTTCAAAAAGAGTAATCCCTTTCAAATCTTGTGGCCTGAAGCAAATTATTAAAAATAGAAAAGAAAAAGACAAAGTAAACAATTTTACACTATAATAAACACTTGACACATTTGCATGCTGCGCTCTCTTTTGAGGTTGGTGTTCAGTTTTGCTTTTTCTCACTTAATTCCCTCACTATTTTCAGGTTTGTAGAACATGGAGAATATAAGGAGAATCTTTATGGGACAAGCCTGGAGGCGATACAGTCTGTCATGTCTAAAAATAAAGTTTGCCTTGTGGATGTTGTGCCTGAGGTAAATTAACATTTTAAAAAAAAACCTGTGCTCCAGATTTGCTTTTCAGTTTAGGGTCCATCGTATCCATGGACAACATATGGCCTTTTAGAAAGAAATTAGCTGTGTGTAGCAAGAACTGTGACAACTAACAGATGCATTACAAATTAACTTCCTTGTGGAAATACGCTGTGTTATTTTCAGATGTGCCTTGTATCGTATATTTTTATGATGTTTGTGTCACTTGGCACCGCTACATCTATCATTGTCTTCTGGTCCTTGTTTACCACCAAGATGTCTGGTTGATTGGCCAGTAGCTGTCTGTCCATCTGGATCTGGAAGTCCCACAGAATTTTAGCCTTATTGTTCTCCACAACCTTCTTTGGGACATCTCATTTGGATCTGGGGGTGATTAGCCCATGTACTGTCCAGGTGTTCCTCTACATAATGCCAATTATCTGGCTGTGCTGTTCAGTGTATGCTGTTCCTGCCTGCAACTTATACCTGACACTATGTGTTGTTGGACTGCCTCTGAGGCCTCTCTACATAGTCTGCACCTATACTATCCAAAATAAATATAAATAAATAACATATGTAGTGTCTTGGGTTCTACATTATTTTCCTTTACATATTAGCCTTTTATTACTTTTAATAACTGGTGAATTTGGTTGGAATTCAGGATTGGGCACATTTTCAAGCAGGTAACATTCAGTTGGCTATCAGTTGACTAATTACCATTTACTTCAGAAGGTTTCAAAAGATACTTTCACCAGTACTAGGCTATTCTCCCAGATATTTTTAACTTTTATTCATTTATAGCCCTTTTTATCTTGGTGTATATTTTCAGTGCTATTTATCAACGAGTGCCACTTTTATTGTATTTACTGTTAGATTCTAAAGCAATATTACAACAAAATTCAAGATACCTTCAGAGATTCCTTCAGGCCATCAAATCAAAAGAAATAATGACAATTTTTTTCCTTTAAGAAATTGCGGCCACAGATTCCTATTTTGCATATTTCTGCTTCCAGGCAGTGAAGCATTTAAGGACAGCAGAATTCAAGCCCCATGTTGTCTTTGTAAAGCCTCTTGTCTCTGAAAAGAAAAAGAACACACCAGCCTCTCTGCTGACAGAGGACATCTTTGTCCCGCTTGTAAGTATTTTGTATTGAAAGGATGGTTCCCTGTGAGGAATCTAGAACGGGATGGGCAACATTTACCTCTACTGTCTTCACTGGAAGGTCATCTGTGTACAATACCAGAAATTGACCTAAAGGATGTGGTAGCCATGCAGACCAAAGTGAGTGGGATCACCCATTTTTCATTTTCTTTCTAATGTTATTTACTTCATTGGATTCTCCTTGGATTCTCCTTTTATCTCTCTTATTGCTCTTGATTTATACATTCCAATATTTGTTTTTACAGTACCCCTCCCCCCCCGCAGTGTTTGCCTGTAAGGAGTTAAAGTATGCAAGATGATGGGCACCATGTCATAATCCAAATTCCAGACCTTTTATACACGTGGCAGTATCCTGTGCACATACAAAAGGAGTGTGACTTGGTTCTTGATGCTATGTTCTTTGTCTTGCAGATTTTGATGCATCTACTCCATGGATATCTTTGATTATCTCTTTCCCATTGTTGTTTAGATATTGCATTCTAAAGTATTTGTTGTTGGAAAATTATACTCTGGTGATTAGATCCAGATTCATATTATATGCACTCATTAAGCTAACTTGTTATGGATTCAATAAATCACTATTTCGTGAATTTGCATATGGCTTTAAGCCATAAATCTAATTTTTAAATCACAATAGCTGGATTCATACAACACATTAAATGCAAACCAAACAAATCTCATAATGGCTTAATGCAATGGATGAAACTGGTATTCGTTCAAAGAATAAATCCATTGTAATCAGTGGGGCATAAACCCATTGTGACTTAAATGTCCTTGATTTCTTTGATCTTCTACTTATAATTAGATCTGGTTCCAGCTGATTCCATATTTAGTGAATTCTTAAGTGACTGGCAAATAAATGTACAGCCAAAAAAATGCATTAAATTATTATAGTTATAACTCAATATATTCAGCTTATTACAGATACTTCTTGACTTACAACCGTTCATTTAGTGACCAAAGTCCACTTGGCTTATGACCAGTCCTTGCATTATGACCATCACAACATCCCCACAATCACTTGATAAAGATTTTCGTGCTTGACAGCTGGCATGTATCGATGATGGTTGCAGTGTCTTCAGGTCATCTGATTGCCATTAGGGGCTTTCGCAGCCTGCTTCTGCAAGGCAAAATCATTGGGGAAAGTTGGATATACTTATGACTGCATGGTTCATGTAACAACTGCACTGATTCATTTAACAACGGACAAAAAAGGTTGTAAAATTGAGTATGACTCACTTAACAACCACCTTGTTTTGCAGCAGAAATATATGATCCCAGTTGTGGTCATAAATCAAGGACTACCTGAACTAAATTTTACTAGCCAATTCTGCTTTCTGCAGCAGAATTACCCCATGGGATATTTTTTTTTTCCTTAGGAAGTGCCAAAAGTATATTGCAGCTGAAAACCACTTTTAGTGAACTAGTCAAGAGTCATTTCTTATTGTCTTTCTGTTTCATTTTGCAGGATGAGGAGCAGCAAGAAATGGTGAACTCAGCAGCCTTCATTGAGGAACAATATGGCCACTTAATCGATACTGTCCTGGTAAAGGAAGATCTCCAGAGTGCCTGCAGCCAATTGAAAACCATATTGGAAAAACTGAACACAGACTGTTTTTGGGTGCCTGTCTCTTGGGTTAAGTCGTAGACAGCCATATTATGCCAAAAAAGAAGATAATAATTTGTAAATAGAATGGATGGTTAAAAAGGAAAAATGCTGCTGTAGCAGCCAGTTTGTTCGAAAAGCTGGAAAGAGAATCTCTTTGCAACTAAAACCGTATTCTGATTAATCACTTCCTCTAAAAGAATGGAATGCAAAATTGCACGATACAATCCAGGGTATGTGTGAGTCTTCTTAGAAAGCAGTTCTGGATATTTGAATGCTGTTTCTAGCTCTGCGACTGAGATTCAAACTCTAGTTATCCTGACAAAGATTAAATAGCTGGGAAACATTACAGAGCAAAATATACCAACTCTGAAACTTCCACAATCAATAATAAATGATAGAGTCCTTCATATAAGGGTTGTAATATCAGATAACACAATAATAAACCTTCCCCCCTCCTGCGATTGGTTGAGCAAGCAGAATCAAAAGAGCAATTAGAAGTGACAGTTGATATTTTACTAGAAGAGAAATCTTCCTGGCCACCTCCAAAGGCCACCTCCAATTTTGTCTCTTTATATTCTCTCTTTATAACTATATTTTGAGACATCAATGACTTAGTGGGATTTTCTCCCTAGATTATCTCAGTAAATTGCCTAAATATTATGTTAAATTATGAAGTCAAGACATTGGAAACTGTCTCATTTCTAATCAAAGGACCACAAATTTCCCATGAGAAATGGTGAAGAAGAATTTCTCCTCTATTTCTACTTTGTTATGAACTGTAAGTGCTAGAGTATCTCTGTCATAGGCCAATCAGTTACCCATTTTACGTCAGTTTTAACTTAGGCAAGTGGTCTGAATTTTTAAAATTGCAAAGGATATTTGACATAAGCTTGATCTTGCAGAATGATAGCTGAAGATCTTTGGCAGTCAGGAGTATCCAATGCCCAAGACTCTCCGTGACTAGCATAATACTGGATTTGCTGTGCAAACATAGAATTGGATGCAGAGTTCAGCATCCAGAAATTCACTTTAAAGGCCAAGCAAAATTTCAGTTCTTCCAGTGATTGAAAATATATAGTTTTTGTTTGCTTTTCTGGACTTGGTAAAAACTGAAGTGGAACCTCCTTCAATTCTAAGAATTGAGGTGAAGGAACATCCTAACTCTGAAGCACCACAGCTAGCCTTTTCCAGAACTCCATATTCAAAATGATCAATACATAATAAACATACAAGTCGTCTGCTTTGCTTTAATTTTTCTTGTAGAATGTTGTTATTTTTTGCAGATGTTGCTTTGGTGATTAAAAGGGAGGGTTGGTTCTTATGAGAAAGGCCTTGGCTTATCTGTATTTTTCTTCTGTTCTCTGTACTGGTTTTTCTGTTCCATTATGGGTTTTTTTGCATTTCTTTGTAAAAAAAATATTTCCCATTAGAAAATTTTTTATCAATGTTCCTAGAGCTCTTCTATATCTTAATCACAGCATTTATCACCAGTCTGTCTTTTGAAGCAGAAATTGATGTACTTATTTAATTCTGTAGTTTTAAAATTGTGAAGAAAATTGGGGCTTTGTTTAAAAACTTATCATTGAGATTAATTGACTGATTATGGGCCATCAAGCTTGTGTCAGTTCTTAGCAACCATATAGATAATTTCTCCAGGTGGATCTGTTCCCAGGTTACTGTAGTTCTTCAGATCTTCCAATGGTGTAATCCATCACTGCCATAACTGAGTCCATCTACCTTGTTGCTGGTCATTGTCTTTCCATTCACCTTTCTCAACATTAGAGATTCTCCAAGAGCTAGATGTCTTCATATGTCCAAAGTAGTATAAGTTGAGCCTGGTCATTTGTGCTTTGAGCGAGATATCATTAAGGTTGATAATACTAGGTGAACCTCTCTAGAAAACAGTTTGCTCACCATTATTAATCTTTCTGTAAATGAAACAAGGTTCTAGGTTTCCCCTGTCAATTGATGTGCAAGGCTGGTAGAATTTGGCAGATCTAGCTACTACCTGACAAAAGGTGAGGGTATATGTTCACTTTATATATTGTATGTATGTGGTATAATATGATATTCCATTTATCCTTTACAAGTATGGGATAGAGACATATAGCTTGGAATGCAAGGAATTCCCCCTCCCCCAATTTCTCTCTGAACCCCTCATGCCTAAAATAAAAATTTCCCTTTGGTATCAAATACATAGTTTGGTTCGTAGAATGTATCAGCAATCTGATAGGAATGGTGTAACTAAGAATTCAGGTTTCCTAAGAGTGCTAGTCTTTTGCAAGAAAAAATAATAGCTAATCAGTTCATTGTTGCATACAATTTATTATTGCAGGTCATTTCTAGTGTCCTTCACAAGACGAATTGGTGCAGAAGATGCTCCTTGAAGAGAAAAAAAATGGTCAAATCTTTGATACCACAAGCCACCACAACCCATTTTGCAAATTGGGTGCTTGTGAGGGTGGATGTTGGTGGCAAGGCAAAAAAAAACAAAAAAAAACGAAAAAAAAACCAGTGCATGAATGCATCTAGAATATTCAAAACTCTTTTTAACAGTACCTATTTGTGCAACTAGAATATTTTTAAAATTGTTTTTATGCATAAGGGTGACTTGTATTCCAGCAGTGCCCCTGACTGATCAGTTGCTTCTTTAAATAATTCATTGTGTTGTATCTGGGGTAATACAATGATTTTATGCATTTAATACATGCAGTTTTTCAGAGAGATTTTTAGGATGAGAACTGCTTGCTTTAATTTGCTTGCACTGCCTTTTTGATACCTTTCCCATTGCTAGTTTTCTCTTCATTTGAATACACAATTTCCACCCACCATTGATATATTTTTTTAATTCTTTTGTACCATTGCAAGAAAGTACAACTTTAAAGGTGAGTTTGTTTCAGTATTCATTGTTATGTCAACTTACCTGCCTTCCATGAAAACAGCTACCTTATAATTTTTCCTTGGAAAATATCTGTTTGAAGCAAAAAAAGCAGCTACTGGAGAATACTGCCAATCTCACAGAAAGGATTTATAATGAAAAAAATCCTGCACCCTATTTCAACATGCAGGCTATTTTCAATTGTATATATTTAAAAAACAAAAATCTAGCTCTTTGGTGGACAAAATTCCCCCCTAGTTTAGGAACCCACCTTTCACTTCTGAGTTTTAGGCTGACATAGAGAGGAGAAAAGTTTGGGGGAACTTATATCAGAAAACTGAAGTCATGGAATAGGTGTGGTTAAATGATTGTACAGTAGTTAACTTTGCTTTAATTCAGTCTGTGGAAATCAACAAAACCTACACAAGTCTTCTGTGATTTGGCACTCTCCAAACATCTTTTAAAACTCTCATTAGTCACCACCTAATTCTTTCAACACAAACGTAGTAGTAGTAGTAGCAGTAGCAACAGCAGCTGTAGCCATTTGAAAGTGGTGAATTTTCACCTTTTTCTCCTTTTCATTTTAGTTACCTTACTTGGACCTCCATCTCTATCTGTTCATACCAATGTACCTACATACATAGCTTGCATTATGCAAGTCAAATCCAAGCCAATATTTTTTAAAAAATGTTTGCCCCTCCCTCACGTGCCCCTTTTCCCTAGTTTTCCTTTTTTCCTGATCTGGGCATTAAGACTGGATGTCCCATCTATACAAGGCAGCTAAGTAACTTTGGATTCTTAATAATTAGATATTTCCATATTTAGACAGTTATATGTCTTATTTGGAAATAGTTTTTTACTCCCCCCACAAATAAGCATCTGCAGCAATACACATATCCAGCAATCTGCTAAGGCCAATACTGTAAAATATATTCTAAAAGAAAAGTGCTATAAATGGGGTTAGCTTGAATTGCCCATGGTATTGACGGGCAATTTACTGCTTCCACAAATCATTTTCTGCTCTTGTATATATGTGTGGAGGAACCTCTGCCTTTTCTGGCTGTAATTCTTCGGACTTGCATCCTAGTTCCATCTCTAAAAAAACAAAACTGGTGTAAATGTGCAGGTAAGTAGGCCAAGTAAGTAGGAGTGCTTACTACTACTACTGTTGGAAGTGGGTTGAAAAGAGGAATTATGTGCTCAGCCTCAGAAGGTTAAAAGCCCCTCAGAAAAACCATAGAGAATTTATATCTTACATCCTGAAAAAAGCAGCATATTTCAAAATCATATTGTGGGAAATATCTTGCAGTGGACTTGTCGATTATTCACTTGCAATTTTTATGATGAGAGTCCATGGCTGAAAATTGAGCTTTCCATAGCTTCCATGTTGTTTCTGCAAATGTGAACACACATCCTGTATGTGATGTGTGTGTGTGTGGAATGCACCTTGATGCTTGCAAACATGATAGATGTGCCTTTTCATCGCCACTTGTTTTATTCTAAAACCTTAATGAAGATCATAACTAGTGTTGACATTACTATCAGCTAGACGGTGTATTTTGAGTAGTCCTAAGCGGCTTGTTATTCCTCACATTGTCTAGTTTCCTGCAATAAATTTAAAAGAGACATGTTAGAATATTTAGTCAGTCTAGAAACTCACATTTTAAAGGGGTAACTGGAGGATTGTATTAACTGAGCTGCACGGATTGATTTCTCTCCCAAACAGACTCTGTGTAAATCAAATCCAGACAAAGAAATACACAGGCAGAAGACCACTTTAAAGTTAGAACACTAGGAAGTTCAATCACCTGGGTTTGACTGCTGGTGTCCAAGCTCTCCCAAGGGTTCCTCAGTGATGGTTCCTAAGGTTCTTTTGGCTGAAGAATGTATTTAGACCTTTAGAATATTCATTGATTCATTCATCCTACCTTTATTATATTTATAAATAACTCAATAATAATTGCATGAGGTGAATTGGATTGAGAGAGAGTGATTGGCCCAAAGTGACCCAGCTGGCTTTCATGCCAAAGGGAAGACTAGAACTCACAGTCTCCTGGTTTCTAATCTTGTGCTTTAACTAAAGCAAACTGGTTCTCATACATTGTATATGCCTGATTACAAGTACTAGCAATAATGTGGATGTGCTTTTTCCATTTAGGTACACTGGGACTATAATTCTTGGAATTCCATTGAGCAGGTGGGCAGAGAGTAGCACTGCTAACAAATTTGGGAGTCACTAGTTCAGTAGGACAGATAGCACTGAATGTACACAAGTCAGTTAAAAGTTTTTGCAGTAAAACACTTCTGTATCTGCACAATATGATAGGCTTATTTAGGTTTTGGTTGGCTTGTCACATATGTAAACCCAATTCTTTGTATGATCTGAACCCAAAAAATATTTAGTGTGAACCCAGAAAATAAGACTAATATGAGCAGAGTTAAGATGGTAATATGAATACGCAGTATTCTAAACCAAGTTTCTCAATCACAATAACTTTTAAGATGTGTGAACTTCAATTCCCAAGATTCCTCAGCCAGCATGATGAGGTTAAGAGACACTGTCCTAAACCATTAAGACACACATACATAGTGGTCAGAACAAAAATATGTCTAAGGCAACCTTTCTCCAAATTGGCATTTCTAGATATGTTAGCCTGGAAACTCCAGAATGTTCAAGGGCTATAGCAAGAACAGAGAGGTTTCAAGATCAGCACTCCAGAAAGGTGCCAGATTGTAGAAAGTGAACCTACTGAATTCAATTCCCAATTGACAAATAGGTTTCAATCAAAGCCCCTGGCAAATCCACATGGGGTTTTATGGATAAGCCAACCTGATTCAAAAGCCTTTATGGGGAGGGGGGAACAGCACCTTGGGTATGAGTGCAGACACTGCTAGAATGAAAGCAGTCTTGGCAAGATAGGTATTAAGGTAGATTATCGATAGAGAGATGGCTCATTCTTTGGCTGCCTGATTCTGAGCATTGCTGGAATTTTCCTCTCTACAGGAGCAAGTTTTGCTTGTTAAATAGTGCAGGTCAGCTATCTCTATAGTGCTTCAAAAATTCAATGAAGATTCATTTCATGTGGAATTCTGGAATGGGGACCGTTAAAGATCACCATCCTAGTCTTTAGTGAATATAACTCAAGCCCTGACCATCTCCCATTTTTGCAACAGAATAGCAAACCACAGACATCTGTTGTGCTATCAGGGATCAGTGAGCACAAATGCTCCCACTATGCCTATGGCACATCATATAAGATCATAAATGGGGACAGGAAAAACTGATGAGGGTCTATGAATGTTCACACTCCCCTCTTAATTTTGCAATCCTCTTTGGAGGATTTATTTAACAAATTAGTTTATTTATTTATTGGATTGATAAAGCGATCAGACCTGGAGAAAAGTGACTCTGGATTGCATACAAAATACATAAAAGGTAAAGTGATAAATTCTACTACATAAAGGTAAATACATAAAAGTTTAAGGGCAGCCCGAAGTAGAATACATTGCAATAGCACAACTGGGAGGTGACAAAGGCAAGATGATAGCCAGTAGGTTTTCCCAATCCAGGAACAGGTATAATTGGCATACAAGATGAAGCTACGTGAAGGTCCTCCCAACCATAGTCATCACTTGCACTTTGAGGAGGAGCTGAGAACAGGAAACACCCCCTCCCTCCCCTCCTCATCCAAGGTTTCAGGTAGAAGTTAAGGAAAAGAGGAGAGAGTCCTGAGGTATCCCCACAAAACAGGAGTCTAGGATTAGACCACTCCCCCTCCCAGTGCCAACTAGAACTGCCTGGAGGAAGGAGGGGGATCATTGTAATATTGTGTCTCTTACTTGCAGCTCCCTAGCCAGTGCAGAAGTAAACCATGCTCAGTGGTATAAAAACCTGCTGAGAGATCAAAGAAGGCCAGGCTCAATGCATTCCCTCTGCTGTTTTTATGTCCTGGTCTGAATGCAGATTAAAAAGGGTCCAGATAATCTGCTTCCCTCAGGATCCTTTGAACTATCTTAAAAGGGAAGGTTGGGGACAGGATGCAAATCATGTTAGATCCAGCAACGATTTCTTGAGGAGGAGGCAGACTATGTATGAGCTGGATGTTGATTTTCAAGAATTCACTCTGGCATTGTAAATACTAGTTATTTTCCTATTCAGGGATAGTCAACCATGTACTTAGCTCCCAAACTTAAGTGTTTAAAAATAACCACATGGCCACATAAAAATATTTAATAGAAAATAAAAACCCTAGATGGTTGGAGGGCAGAACTCAGTTTGAAAATCTGCTGCCCTGCCCAGAAAAAGAATAAAAGGAATCAGGAACTGTAGAAAAGTGAACTATATATATTATAAAAGTAGGGCTTTGATTGTGTGGGCCCCCATGTTGACTTTTTTTTAAAAAATCCCTTCCCTGGACATGTCTGATGATTTTAGATTTTAGACATTTTAGCACTCTAGGCACCAAATGGCTTGACTCATCTTCTACTTCTGTTAGGAATTTCAAATACCATCTTATTTCTCTGTTTTCTCCAACTTTTTGAGCTTTATAGTTATAATTTCCAGTCCTGGAAAAGTCTTTTTTCTTTTCTTGGATATTTTCACTCTATTTATATAATAATTGTAATTATTTCATATAGTTGCTATCATATAGCAACAATTGTGTAAAATTATATTTAAGCCTTAAACAGGACTGCTGGCTGATGGAGTGCATTATCACTGCATTTTCTTTTTAATTGCATTTTCTTTTTTGAAATCTTTTCCGTTTTGGTACCCCCTAAAATTTGGTGCCCCTAAACCAGTGCTTACTTGACCTACAGCCTACAGTTGGCTCTATTTGTAAGTAACCATGTCATTGTATAAATGGTTAAATCCCTTCAACTCTTATGTTTTTCAGTCTCAGCATCTTTAAGATGTATGGACTTCATCTCCCAGAATTTCCCAGCCAGTATGTTGGAAATTAAATTTCACACTTCTTAAAACTGGTGAGGTTGAAAAACACTGCTTCAGCACCTACTAATCATTTTGCAGGAGCATCCATAAATTGTTCTTAAAACCTTTATTATACATCTGGCAAGAAAAGCTACACAACATACAGACCTTCCCCCTCCACAGTCCCCATCCTAACAATTTTCTGTAAGATCAGCAATTTCAGATCTGGGTTTTTGTTAGAAAACATTCATAATGGTGACATTTGTATGCCTCTGTCTGATTTGGGAGAAAATAAAACAAAAATAAGTGGACAACGTATCATTTGAGTGGATGTTGCAGATGCTTTCCAGAAATTGCTGTTGTAGAGGGCGCAAGTGGTCAAGCCTGTATGGGTGAGCAGGTGGATATATTCAAATACTAGCAGCTGAAGTAGTGGCTGGTTCTTAGCTACCTTCATTCTCCCATCCTGATGCCCCTACCACCCTCAAGCTTCCCACTGTTTATTGGGAGGGGCAGGAGAGAACACTTCTGAAGAAGCCCTGCCAGCAGCTTCCCACCATTACTTTTCTTTTCTGAGAGAGCCCATGTGAGAGGCATGCTGGAGCATTTTAGGAAATAAAGATATGCTAGAGGGCTAGTTCCCTTCCCCCCCTTTTTTAAGCAATTCACCAACTTCTCTATAGTTGTTTTTATTGATATTATTATTTAAGGAAAAGACTGATGCAGGGAAACTGACAAGAGTCCAGAAAAATGTCTCGGGCACACACTGACCTGGCCCACAGTATCCATAAAACAAATACAAAGCCACACCCTTGTCCAAAGGATCTTGGTCTAGGTAGTGTTTTATACTTACTCTTGATTTGGTACTGGAAAACGAGAAGTGTTTCTCATATAATTCCTGGAATTCTACAGAAGAAAACAATTTAAAAAAAGTGACTGTGATGCCTCAGTAGCCTGGGAGAACAGCTGAAACACCTTACAACATCTTACTACCTTGCATCAGTTTTAGCAAAAAAAAAAATTATGGCCACTTCAAAACTGCTGACTGCCTGAACCAGTTCCTGCAGTTTTCTTGGCAAGATTTAGATGATTTTTTTTTGCCATGCCTGAGTGTGTTTGGCTGGAGATCACCCAGCTGGTTTTGTTCCTAAGGCAGGAGTAGAACTCCAGTCTCCCAGTTTCTAGGAGGCTTTAACCATTATGCCAAACTTTCTCTCTCTTTCACAAATAGCAACTGTTTTAAGTGAGAAGGGTCTTCATTTGCATTTCTATTGCACCAGTTTATCCTTGCTGTGAATCAATGAATTTATGGGAATTAAATATATTCTCATAGATACATAGGATAATTATATTGAGTGATTCACCAGAAGCTTAACATACCAACACCTTAACATATTGTCTGCCTCCCTGTGACGAATTGCAATCAGTGACCGAGTCTTCTCTTAGACAAGGAAAGATTCTTGATGATTTCACACAGTGATGACTTTCTTTTGGGGTGGGGCTTTCAGGATTTCAGGTAACAGTTAAGTTAACCATTGAAGAATGGAAGGGCTGACTAATGGTTCTCAAAGATATTTTTTAAGCAAATCAGCTTTAAAAAGAAGAAAAAGACATCAGCAAAGAAGAATGTCCCAGACATGGAAGAAAGACTAAAACTGGGCTGTGTTTATACAATACATCAATTCACAAATCAGTCAATCACATTTTACTCTAGTGTGACATCCCAAACCAGAAAAATGGGTCAAACAAGTAAACCATATTGAAAGTAACCATGGGGAAGTATGTCATGCAAATATTGCCTCGAAGTTCCAGCGAAAATCTGTGATAACAATGCATTTCTGCAGTCTCTGTTTTTCATATGAGAAACAAAGAAGCAACATTTTTTTCCTATTTTCCCTAAGACAAAAGTTGCAGCTGGGCCATCTGCCTTCTTCTCGGTCTGTGGGAGGCTTGTTGACATTAAGGAGATGCTGCTTGACTTTGGGAAGCAATTTTAATTCCTGCAAAGAAATTTAGGTTGGCAGCATTTTACCCTAACAAGACTAAGGAGGAGGGGAGAAGGTTCCAAGGTGACATGGAGGATGCAAACCCTGTACCTCCCTTGCTGCTAATAACAGAGTAAGAACATTTGCCTCCTACATAAGCACGTCAGAAATTGGCTCTCCCTACCTCTCCTTCTTTCCACATCCCAAATGATGGCATTCTCAAGTGCTAGAAGGGAATTACAGTGCTGATGAAGTTAGAAGAAATCTATTTTTATTGCTTGGATATGTAGATATTAAACAACTTTTAATCAAAGTCTTGGGCTCAACTTATTTTCTAGTTTCAATGTGATTGCTTTTAGAATGGGAGAATTTAATGCTTCTTGAATTTGCACCAATGCCCCAATTTAGGAGTATGTTTACAACTCTATTGTTCCATCCCCTAATTGATCAAAAGCAGTGTGAAGACATTTTAGCCAGTTTCAGAATCTTAAGAGCAAAGGAGTCACTGAATCACTGCCCTGATCTCCTAATATTAGTTGTGGGCATTTGTCTGGAACAGTTGCAAACCAATCTGTACTTGTGATGGGGTTCTGCAAAGTCAAACTTCCCCTAGAAAGCCCTGCTAGGACCTGCTTACTCTTCCTGTCCAGAAGTTAGAGGGTGAGATGAAAAATAGTCTTGCAAATTGAGAAACAGATTGCTCACAAGTTCTATGCAGCCACAATATTTCAAAGAAAAGATTAGTTTTACTTCAGTTTCAAAGACCTCCTCAGATGAACCAGAAATAAATTGGTTCAGCTGCCAAACAGAGATCACAGCATGAGGTTACAGTCTGTCTTTTATCTCTATGTTGTTACTGTTCAAACTGGGGTGGGTGGAAGAAGCAAACTGGGTAAGTACAGTGGCACAGAGAGAAAAAACTCTATATTTTGCCCTTTTTAAAAACTTCTTTCTAGTTTTATGTATTAAACTTTCTATATTGCTGCCCTCCATTGTTTCACTTGTGAGAATATTCTTAGATCTCTGTAATTTGTAACATGGCATCCTCCAGATGGTTGGGGATGATGGGAATTGATGTCTGATTCATATAGAGTAGAGTTCCTCAACTTTGGCAAGTTTAAGATGTATGGACTTAAGTTCTCAGAATCCTGGGAGCTGAAGTCCACACATTTTAAATTTGCCAATATTAAGAAACACTGATATAGAGGATAACAGGTTTGAGAAGGCTGCTGTTATACTAAGAAGGGCCTTCAGATTCTTAAATTGCTCTACTGGTGAAACATGGAAAGCTGAACTTTTGAAACCCTGGGGAAGGATGCACTTGCCTGCCAATCCTTTTCGCATTGCTTCCTGTCATAGGTAGCCTTTCTATCTCGAAGTCTTTTAAGAATTGCCTGGTTCTCCAGAGTAATCCTTACAAGTTCTATATTCTGCTTCTGTCGGAACACGCTGCAAAACCCCCCAAAAAGCTCATGTAAGATGTGAGGATTAACATTGTAGTTCTCCAAAGTGGTTAATATTGACACCCAAGGTTGATGGGACTATCTATTATTATATGGTTCATTGCACAGTCAGCCAGATATTCAGACTAAGGACCTTTGATGGTTTTAAAGATGTCATTGTAGGATGTAAGCTGTTCTGAGTAAAGCTGCCTTTTGCAATTGATCAGTGATGATTTTTTCCAATGCTAATGGTTCAAGTGGTGTGCTAGCTGTTTTGGGATTGTATCTAAGGTGCCTATTACTATTGATACTACCTTGGTTTTCTTTTGCCACAATCATTCTATTTCTTTTTGCAGGTTTTTGAATTTTGTTATTTTCTCCAGTTCCTTCTCTTTTGCTCTGCTGTTTTCAGGTACTGTCATATTCATTAACTTTGTCTTCTTATTTACAATAGTTAACTCTGGGATGTTATGTGGCAGGGGTCTGTCTATTTGAATTCTGAAATCACAGAACAATTTTGCTTCTTAGTTTCTATTACTTTCTCAATTTTATGGTCCCACCAGTTCTTGCTTGCAGGTGAATGGTATTTCCTCCACTATTGTTGCTACTTTGTCATGCCATTGCCTGTAGTCAGTCTATGTGATTTCCTGGCAGCAGTTAACCAATTGTTTCCCTTTTTCTTTAGTTTCTTTGCAGAGGTAGCACTTGTTGTCTGTCACTGTCAGTTCTGATTTTATATGCATTTGTTAAAGCTTGGTCTTGTGCAGCCAGGATTAGCCTATATGTCTCTTTCTTCAATTTCCCTCCCATTGTGAACTCGTTATTATTTGTTTTGCCTGTTCCTGGCCAAGTAATACTTTGTCTTCCTATGTTTCTTTCTTATTGTTCATTTGGCCTTTCTTGTAGGCCATTTTGGTCTCTCCAGTAATCAGTAAGCCTACCTGATAAACTAGTGTCAGTGCAACTTCTTCATTGTTCTTCAGATATTCTTCCAATGCCCTTTTTTTCTTCAAAGATCTGATGTTGCAACTTTCCTTGGTAAGTAGACTCTGTCAACATCACTGCAAGGATGAAGGATAGGATTCATTGTCATTATTTTTTCTGGCCTTCCTATCTTGGACTTTTAATTCTGACTGAGTCTGGTCCCGATTCCAACTGTGTATCTAATGACTTGAATTGCTCCGTTGTTAATTACCTAGATGGTGTTTCCTCCACTGAATTTGGACTTTAAGATTTTTTTTCACTCTCTTGATGTATTCATGTCTAACTTTTTTCTTGACTTCAGTGTGCTTGATGTTGTTAACTTGAAAGATCCACTAGTATTTGTAGTAATCATCTTCATCCAGACTCTTGATATTATTTCCATAAGGCATCTTGATTCCTTCAGTTTTCACTATTTCCCCCCAGTTAATGCTGAATATGTCCAGTTCAAACCCCATTGCAATATCTTGACTGTATATTTGGACAGTGTTAATCAATTATTCTGTTTCAGATGGTATTTTTTCCATACAGCTTGTGATCATCCATTTATAGGAGGTGGAATAGCCTGGCAGATATTTTTGATGATAGCCATGGCCTGACGTTCAGTATTGTTGACAGAGGAATCAGTGCAACAAAAAACAGTAGTAGTGAGTTTCCTTGAAATATTTATGATATTAACCTCCTTCTCTATCACCATTAACCATGTCTTCCATTGTACCATTGATCTTTGTTTCTGATGTTTCTACTGAATCTTGTCATTTTTAGGCACTTGATTATCTATCTAGGGAGTCTAATCCATCCATGTTACATTCAAGTTGATCTTCTTTCTCTTACAGTTTTTCAAAAATCATCTTGTCAATTAGGAGTCAATCTTTTATTCCTCTGCTATTTATTTTCTGCTCAGGTGGAAGGAACTTGTTTTCAGCTAGATGTTATTGGACTGTACCACACCAGTTAGCAATTTGAAGGTTGTTTATAATCAGCTGATCAATCTATGGTTGCCTGGTGCTGTTCCTTTTGCTGGTTCTTTCATTTTCAGGTAGGTTTTGCCAGATGTTAGCCATTCTTCAATTTCACCTCCTCGCAGTATGTTGTGAAACTGCTTGGCAATGAGTGATCAAATGTTTTAAGCAAAATCCATGCAGTTCATATTCACTAGGTGCTGACAAATTCTTGATCTTTCTTGCTCTTTTCTCCAACATTTATGCTATTATTATACTTTTTTTCATTTCACCTTTTTTATTCTTATCCACTTCCTTTAACCAGCTGTGTTCTTGTTGTATTTCTATGAGTTATCTCATATCTGTGCCCAAAACTGCATTGTTTCTTCCTTGTCAGGGGTTGACTGATTCACTGGAGTCTCTCCATTGATAGATTGGTAAAAACTTTCTAATTGGATTGAAATTGGAGACTCTGCCTATACTGTAATTTGCAATTTGAGTTTTGTATCTGTTAATATTCTTGGCTGTAGGTATTATTTACTGCTTTATTATTTCCAGTGCTTCCTTGATCTTCATTTCTAGGTGATATTTCTTGATAAGATCTTCTTTGGTTTTCTTGTTCTTCAGCTTCTTTTCTTTCATCTGTTCTACCTTGTTTGTCTGTGATCTCAGCTTGCTGATCTCATTTTCCAACCTGATCTTCCATTTTGGTGAGTCACTGTTTGGCGTGAAGAAGAAGAAGAAGAAGAAGAAGAAGAAGAAGAAGAAGAAGAAGAAGAAGAAGAAGAAGAAGAAGAAGAACTTCTTCTTCTTCTTCTTCTTCTTCTTCTTCTTCTTCTTCTTCTTCTTCTTCTTCTTCTTCTTCTTCTTCTATTATTATTATTATTATTATTATTATTATTATTATTATTATTATTATTATTATTATGGTTTGTTGCACAGTCAGCTATAGTAACATGTATTAAAACATTTTCATATGATGTGGATTGATAAACAATTTGAAATTTTGTGAAGATGTTGATGAGCTGAAGAATTTGGGGATTCCTGATTTAGAGACATCCTCTGCCAAAATGAAGGAGGAGGCTGGTTTTGCTTAAGTAGCATATTTTCTTACCCTTTGAGCAAAGAAAGGAACAAGCGTTCCCTATATTTTTGCTGATTTTCTTTTATATTTTACATTTGACTCTTTTTCTTTCTTAATTTTTTTAAAATATTGCTGATGACAATACAGGTAGTTTTCACTTACAATAGTGACGAATATCTGTAGCTTGGGTGTAGGACGAGAGTGAAGGTTTGTTCTCTGAGCTTGAGGGTTGGTTTCCGAATGTTTCGTTACCAGTCGAGGTAACATCTTCAGCGGTGTTGAGTGGATGTCTGTGTCAATGTTCTACTTATATAAGGGCTTCAGGTGTGGGAGTGTCAACGAGGGTATTGTGACGGGCCAGGTGTGAGTCATCAGAGAGAGGCTTGTGATGGGGAGGTACTTCAGGTCAGGGTCCTTGGAGGGTGTGAATTATCACTGGGTCAGGAGTGAGTCATCAGTGGGAGGCTGGTAATGGATCTTGTGATGGGGAGATTATGTCAGGTCAGGGTCATTGGAAGGTGAACTGTTGGCTTGAACGTTGGCTGTTTGATTGATTTCAATTCTGGTTGTAGATCAATATGTCTGTTGACAGAATTGCTTGTGGAGTGCCAGGCTTCGATGAACTCCTGAGTGTGGCAGGTGGTAGCATGGCCAATGATTTTAGCGCTGCTCCAATTGAACTGGTGTTGCTCCAATTGAACTGGTGTCAGTGTGGGTAATGATTAGGGATTTGGGATCATATCGTTTGACTGTTCGTGGATCCTGGTTTTTAACTGATGTGATGTTTGTTCCACGGAGAAATGGTTGCAATCGTTACAGTTGATTTTGTAGATGGCATTGCATCTTTCACCCTTCTGTATCTTGTCTTTGGTTCTAAATAATTCCTGGTGGAGTCTGGCTCTGGGTTTGTGGGCTATCGCTATTCCTTGGGGTTGGAGAATTCTGGCTGTCATTTCTTTTTTCTTTTTTTTTTTTTCAAAGAATTTTTTATTGTTTTCAACATAAAAAAAAAGGCACATCACAAATACATCACAATTGAAAAAAAACCCCCCACCCCCCACCCGGACTTCCCAAACCTAATCCCAGGATACTATTCAACTAAAAGTAAACTTATATTAATATCCCTAACTCCACAAAATGTTATTCTACATAGGTAGGTGAAATATATATATATATATAAAAAAATTTTTTTTTAATCTAAAAACCTAACTTATATTCCACCATTCTATGCTTATTTTGAATATAAACAATCCATCTTCTCCATATTGATAAAAATTGTTCATTTGAATGATCCTTCAAATAAGCCGAAATCTTTGCCATTTCAGCAAGATGCGAAACCTTCAATCTCCAGTCCTCTATTGTAGGTAAAACTTTACTCTTCCAGTTTTGAGC